ATAATTATTTTTGAAGATATTCCAATTATTTCATTTGATATTTACTCTAATAAATGAAATATATTATTTTTTTCTTATTTCTCACTACTGTAAAAAGTTCAGATGATATTAATATTATAACCCCAGCGAAGCCTTACGATGAATCGAAGATTCAGAGTTATTTAGAACAATTTGGGTATTTAGAGAGTAATGGATCATTATTAACAGAAACGTCTTTGACTAGTGCTTCGCATACCAATGAAGCATTAATAAGGTTTCAAGAATTCTATAATTTACCAGCTGATGGAACATTAAATCAAGAAACACCTGCTTTTATCAGTAAACCTAGATGTGGCGTTAAAGATAATCCAACAGCTTATAGAATTCATTATCAAAAATAAAATAAAACAAATCTTAAATGGTATTTTTCGTTAGCTACAAACGAGATGAAAGAATTAGCACAAAAAGCCTTTGATCAGTGGGAATCTGTTTCAAATTTGAGTACAATAGTATTAAACCAGATATACTTATATCATTTTCTAACACGATGTTTCAGCATAATCATAATTCACGTTGTCAAAAAGGAATATCTTCTTGCAGTTTTGACGGAAAAGGTAATGTCTTAGCACATGGCTTCTTTCCAAATAATAATGAATGTTTAGGAATTCATTTTGATAAATCAGAAAATTGGTATTTTGGTGAATTAATACACCTGATGATGAAACTAATTTTTATACTGTTTTATTACACGAAATAGGACACACATTAGGTATTGAACATTCTGCAAATAATAATTCAATTATGTACGCCTATTATAAAGGTGATATTGATAAATTGACTCAAGACAATATGTGGGCAATTCAATATTAATATGGACGACCTGAACGATTAAAATATGAATTAATACCAACAACAACAGTTAAACCTACTGTAAGCAAAGTCGGAGTAAAAGATACTGTTGGTAATTCGTCTTCGACACACGACCCTATGGTGAATTTATGTGATTTTAATAAAGAAATTGACACATTTTTAATTGCAAATCATCATATGTATATTTTTTATAAAAAGTATGTTTAGTTAGTCAATTTAAAAGATATGATTTATGATAAAGAACCGAAATTAATTAAAAATTATTTATATTTTTTGCCAGATGATTTTAAAGAAGTTTCGCATATTTATCAAAGACCTTCAGGTGATGTTTTAATAATTGTTAAAAATTTATATTATTTAATTGATTTTCCAAGTTTTAATGTTAAAAGTGGATACAATGGTCAATCTATTGAAAATTTAGGAATACCAAAAGGAAAAAGAATTGATGCGATATTTAGAACTTATTATTATATTATTATATTTAAAACATATATATTTTATGATAAAGCTTTATATATTGAGTTTGATGAGTGTTTGTTTAGATCAAAGAAAAACGGTCTTATTTCAGAATTATTTGGTGGAATACCTCCAAATATAAACAGAGCATTCAGATATAGAAATTTATATTTCTTTAAAGATAAAATGTTTRACGAATTTGATGATATTTCGAATACATTAGTTAAATCTGATAAATTTGACTTSACAGTTTTTGGATTTAAATGTGSTCTTATCGATCAAATAATKAAACTAATTAATCGTCTGTGATTCTTATAATCGCGTTTTTTATCCTTCAAGAACGAGTTGGAAACTTTCCCAGTCGTCAGATCATCAATAAATCTCATAAATTCYAYCAAATTATTTGTAGAATTTTTAAAACTTGGTCATTTTCTGAAGCGTATACCGTTTGGGTATACACCGCATTTTCAAACTCATATGATTCTTTTAAATAAATTTTATCTATTTTTGASATTTTGACATAAGTAGTTCTATAATTATCCTAATCCTCTATTATTACTATAACACAGTAAAATCTTTGAAAAATGTTAATTTTAAAATATACCTTAAAAACGACTGTGTTTTCACGATTTTTTCTGCTTTTTTGTTTATCCTTGAAAATCGGGGTGTTTTCGTCCTTCATATTCCTTTTCGTGATTATTTGATGTTAAATATTATATGTTTAGAATAAAAACATAAAAGGAATTGCTAATTATCATAAATATTTAAACAATATTGTTTAATGATGACAACGAAATAGGTTGTAGTTTAAAATTTAAATGCTTTTTGAATTTACCGCCATGACTAAGTTGGCACTAGTTATGTTGTCAGTCTGTTTTCCCCTAGTTTTATTAATGACATTCTTTTRTTGATTTTTTATTTGATKGAAATTAGATTTTCTAGTTATYCGTATCCAAAAGCAAAAATCTCACACTCGGAATCGGAATCTCTGTTGTAAGTGAGTTTAATTGTATATAATCTCAAAGTACCACTTTTACTTAATTTCAGAGCYTGAAATATGCCCCCTAACGCTTTACATACGCAARATCTCATAAAATGCCCAAAAAGTGTCGACCCCACTRTRATAAATCCTGAGGGTTTCAAAGATTTTATTCCACCCAACGTCAGAGTAGCAGAGGTACGGGGTTRAACCCTTAAACAACAAAAAAAACCTTGTATATGGGAAATCACCGTCACACTTGAAGGAGGTTAGATCTTAAACATAAAATAAAGAGATCCTAACTTTCCATYTGTTTGTAGATGAAGCAGTTTATTYTGATAATGTAAAAAGGTATGATCTTCGATCAGACGTTGATAAGTACAAACCAAGGAATACAAATTTGTTACCAGAAAAAAAAGGCATTCGTAATGGAGAAACATACTGGATTTTTGAATATGAAGTCATTTGCAAGTGCGGGTTATCYCGGGTTTTTTAGACCCGTTGACGTGACTCGGTTTGATCTGAGTTGATTTATTGAAGGTTTAAAATTCAAAATATCGTGGACCGGTTTACAGAAAAATTGATCACGATTAAGTTCCCACTTGATTTACATTAAAAACGTCAAGTTATCGCAATCATGGCCAACTTCATCTGTCTTCCGCTGCGCTCCATACGGCCGTAACATACTGTCGATTTTATATGAATGCGTTGAATTCTACTAACCTCAAAAAATCGTCCGGTAACAAGCGTCATCTACTTGATAACTTAAAGACTATAGATATTTCAAATTTGACAATTTTTGTCAAATTTTCAATCATTCTTTTAAAAAGTTCAAAGATCGGCAAGAAATGTTTTGTTTGTAGAGAAAAAGATACTTTATTTGAAATACTTAGCGATATAGCAGCTCGTGCTGAATGGTTAAAGAATACTCCGGAACTTTGTGGTAATGAACAAAAATTAATAAAAACATTTACCTAAGTTCCTACTGCTTATTTGTAATAGACAGAATGCTCTCGAATATACATTCATATTCGAGTTTCTGTCTTATTATGATATAAACCCTCTCTATTATCGGACTTAGTTTTCCAAAAAAATTTTAGAATTAGAATGGAAATAGCTACTTGTTCCAGAGGATTGCCAGCACCAAAAAACTGTTACTTTACCTCAGCACGCATTTGGCCGATCAAATTTGTCGTTTCAGTCTTCGACAAACGATTCAGTAACAAATTAATTTAAAAAGAAGGAATTTTGAATGAGGTGCTGGTAATTTCTAATTTAGAACTGTCAAAATATGAATTAAAAAGTTTTCAGTTAACCAAGTAGATGGCACTACTTACCGGACGATTTCGACGATATTTTTGAGGTTAAGAGAATTGTCTTTTGGCTCGTTATGTTACGGCCGTATGAAGCGCAGTGGAAGACAGATGAAGTAGGCCATGTCGCAATCAAATATTTAATCGCAAATCAAATTTTCTGTAAACTGGCTCCATGTCTAATGTCTTAATTACAATTTGATTAAAATGTTTGATTTGTAGAATTAGTTACTCTAGTATTTTAATTCAATTATATTGAGATTTGTCATTTAATTTATAGCTGTATTTAAATATTGTATTTTTGATTTTTTAATTAAAATTTTATTCAAACCGTTTTCATTTTTGTGCTGAAGTGGCCCAATAGAAAAACAGGGTCAAATCTTTGAAAAAATGTTAATTTCAAAATAAAACCTTAAACACGGGTGTTTTCACGATATTTTACGCTTTTCTGTTTAGCCTTGATAATCGGGGGTGTTTTCACGATTTTTTTTGCTTTTCTGTTTACCCTTGAAAATCATGGTGTTTTCACGATTTTTTTTGCTTTTCAGTTTACCCTTGAAAATCGGGGTGTTTTACCTTAAAAAGTGCTGTGTGCTGAAGGGGCCTTTATACTACTTTCCTGCATTTTCTTTAGTTTTTCAAGTTTATTTTCATACAGCTTATTCAACTTTTGAAATCTTACATTTGCTTGCTGTAACTTTTTTTCTAAATTTTGAATTTTATCTAGTAAGACAAATTTTTCTTCCGAACTTATTGCATCTGAAACATTTTTTAAATCAAAATCATGAGTATCACCAACTTTTAAATCGCTTTGTTGATCAAAATCAAATCGAAATGGACTTGAAATTATATAATTTCTGTCAAATGATTGGATACACAGTGCAGGCGTTTCTAACGGCTTACGTTCTGAATTAATGGAAGTGGTAGAGATTACCTGAAAACGAGTAATTCTTTTATAATTCAAGACCAAGGATGGAACTGCAATTGGTAACAATGTTTTGTTTTGTAATAGCTCGTTATTTCAAAGTGTTTTCCACAAATCACGGAATTTGGGGTATATTGCCGATGGTACCAAATATTCTCTTAAGCCATTCGTTTTTTCGATTTCTACTTTTTGAAAATTGATGTAAAATAACATCCTCTTTCTCCCCTTGCCCACAGTTTGGAACACAGCAAGTTCGGATACCTACTTGGCATTTAAAAAATATAATGTAATGATATTGATAATGCGCTTCTTAAGCTGAAAAAATGTGTTAGTTGTGTGACAGATCAATATTTTATTAAATGTGTCAACAATTATAACATTTAATTTCCTGTAAATTTTCAAATTTCACAAATTACAGTTTCCTTTAGAGCGTGACGCGCGCGTCATCTACCGGAATTTACCATTTTGACAAGTTCACTGTCAATCAACGCAGACGACGTTTGAAGTAATGAATCTTAAAAAGAAGCATTTTCAAAATCAAAAGTTTAGACCAAAATCGGCCTTAAAATGTTGACCCTTTTGAGCGAAATCCATTTCTGGAGCACCCAAGAAGACGTCATCGTAAAACATCCAGATTTTGGATCTTTCAAGTACTAAAGCCCCCCAATCCTTGTGCAATCAACTAAAAGCTTTTATTTTAGATACTACTCAAAAAAAGACCTTAATGATTCCCTTTGCTACCAAAGCAAAAAAAAGTATTGTGAACAACGAGGTGTAATATGGCACTTGCCTAATAAACGCCCCCAAAAGCTTCGTGATCGACTCAAAGAATTAGAGGTTGGTCTCCTTCACCTTTACTTTCCGTTTTTAATATTTTTTTTTCTGTAGGAGTACCTCCTTCACAACAAAATCATTTGTTTCTTTTGGTCTGACAACCACTTGCAACTCCTTCTATCCACGGGGGTTGTCGTCACCCTCACAATTGACATCACTACTGGCGACCTCACAAGTCTCACCTTTGATAAATCTCTCGCCGCTAAACTCCAAGTCAACATACTATGCGATGGCGTAATTCTGGGCCCCCAAATCATCTGTATCTGCAATGACGGCCACGTGCTCGGGTTTGGAGGCTCTTGGAAGGACGGCTGGATTGTCGAAGGGGGCCCTCGACGCCACCTCAACTTCCACAACGATTGGTTAGCCGTGTGGGGCAAATGTGAAGCCGAACACCCGCAGCCATGGAGCCCTCTCGGGAAAGACTACCAACGTGCTAATCTACACCTCTACTGGGTTGGCGTTAGAGGGCCCGAGCTTTTAGCTTATAAAAAAACCGACGGGGACCCTATTGAAGTCATCGTGAGTCGGACAATACGCAGAACTTTGTTCGTAATTGAACAAAAAGTGACTCTTAGGGGGGCTGTTTCGGTTGAATTGAGTAATTTTGAGTTAGTTGGGGCGAATCTGAAACGGGTTTCGGTTATTTCAGTGCCTCTTCAAACCCAAGTCAGTTGTTGTGCTTTAAATGAGCAGGAAACTAAACTTTTAATTGGTTGTATTGATGGGTCTTTGGCTTTGTTGGATCGAGTAAGGGGGTCCACTAGGACGGTTAAAGGATTGTTTATACCGAAGTTTGCACGGTGGAACTCTCTGGGGGCTGTTGTCACTGTTTTGAATGAAAGAGGGCAATTGCAATACTTTGATACGGCTTTAAATAGTGTTAAATCACAAATAATGGGAGAGGACTGTACCCCAACTGCTTTAGTCGATTTATCCGGATATTTTAATACTCAATTTACCATAAGTTCGGTTAGTTGGGGGCCTAAAGACCTAGTCGTGGTCCTAGAGCAAGGTCCCATGTTACTTATAACTCATATTGATAGATCTTTATCTTTCAAATCTTTATCGCAAAGATATATCAAGATGGGCAAAATCGATAAAGCTATTCGCCTCCTCCTTAGTTGGGAGTTTAACGACGAAAGCTTCAACGTTTTACAAAAAATCGTAGCCTATTTATTATCACAGCCAATGAACGAGGACATTGCGAGGTACCTCCAAGACGCCCTCGGCTGCTTCCACTGCCCCCCGGTGCCCCTCAACCCAGAAACGCGCTCTCGTTTCTTCACCCAAATTTTCTCCCTGACTCGTCGATTCTTCCACCAACTAGTCCGCGCCCAAATGTTCGAAACCGCCTTCCTCCTGGCCGTTGACCTCGGCCACCACGACCTCTTCATGGACCTCCACTACATCGCGGTGCAGATTGGCGAAACCGAGATGGCGGCTGCGGCCCGCGCGCAGGCCTCCGCCCTCCTCAGCAGATGCTCAAGCGAAGCCTCGAACTGCACTCGGTCGTCCTGCTCCCAATGCTCGGGAAGCAGCGACGAAAACCCCGATAATTACCTCACGACGAACTTCAACAACCCGCAACCGAAGACCTATCCGCGAGCCACCTTCGTGAAGGCCCCACAAGTGCCGGCGAACTTCAAAGCGCCTCCTTTGCCCAACCTAGGGATCCCCCGTAATGTGTTTAAGCCACCGTTGCCCTCCACCGGGGCTGTCAAGAAGGTGCAACCAAAAGTCAAGTTTTCGGATACAGTGACGGCGTTTATTGTCCCTGAGATCAAGAGACCGACGAGGCCGCCGCCCCCACCTCATTTCACCGACCCACAGAAGGAGTTGGCCGATAGTTTGCCGCTGTGTCACCCCAATGAGGACTATTTAAAGGATTTCACCCCAATGAGAAGGAAGGAGAGTGAGGAGGCACAACCCAAAATCAAAGTAGTGCACTTCGGGGTCGTTTAATTAAATTAAACTCAATTAAGTAATTTCCGTCCGTTAAGTACAAACAAAATAAAGGATGTAATATTTTATCGAATAAGAAAAAGTATATTTACTTGAACATTGCTGTAGTCTTATATGTATTCAGATTTTTGTAATTTCATAAATAAATATTACAAGAGATGAAATATAGTTTATTTTTAATCTCATTTTACATTGTTAAGCACACAAAAAATTAAGAAAATCATAATTGGGTATAATTTTAATAAGACTCTTGTCTTGAACACATTAGGGTTTGTTTTGATTGGAGTATTCACGGTTAAACATGTTTCAAAACTTGTATTTTTGGTAATTTTCCAAATAAACCGCCATGATTCTCCAGGTACAGCAACCTAGATGGAATAAATATAAAAAACTCCAGCAAAATTTGGTGACTTGATGCGTTACCATGGCAATTAGCCAACGTCAATATAAACATAACCTCATCGGTGTTTTGAAAAATGCAACCCAATCATTTGCAACACATTTCTCCGGCCCTTTTCGACTCTCCCACGTCTCAGATGTCCTCAAAGGAGTTTCAGAGGATGTTGTACACGTATTTTGAGGAGAAGGGTCTAGTTGATGATCTCCGGTCGTACCTCCGCGTCCTCATGATCAAGCAATTGAAGAACACAAAAGTGGGGAAAATCGAGCAAAAGCAGCAATTTTCCCTCTCCAAGCAAGCCCTCAGTCTAGTAATTGCCGACTATTTACTCCACGAAGGTTGTCATTATACCTTATCAATTTTCAGCACTGAGGTGCCGGGAGTAGCTCCCCAAATCCCGTTTTCTCTCTACGAAGCCCACAATTTACGTAACAAATGGCGATTTGACGAGGAGAGTCTCGTAAATGTGTTAGAGTTGATCGGAATATCGAAAAATAGTGGCGAAAGTTTGAAAATATCAGCGCGGTATTTCCGAAATGAGGAATCCCTGTTGAGTTGTTTGATTGCATCAAAGTCAGCTGCTTTGGAAGAGCTTTCTGAAATTAAAGGGTCGAATTATTTAGACAAAGTTTTAGAGGTGTTGGGGGTTACCCCGAAAGTAGCGGGAGAAATTAAGGCCCGAATTGAGGAAAGTTTCGCTCCCTATGGAAAACAATTGGAGGTCTTGAGGAGCGAACTTGAAACGCGAAATGAGGAAATCAAAAAACTATTTATATGCCAAATCGAAGCGAAACGTGAAAATAAAAAACTCAAAATCGAGTTAAAAGAAGCAAAACGGAGATTGGGTCAGGCGGTATTGCGAGAGGAAAATTTAAATTTGAGGGAAAGAAAAATTCAGGAAAAATTGGATGAGGTTACAAGACTCCAAAAAGGATTGGAAAAATCGATAATGAAGGAAAAAACACAAGTTTGTGACCTGAAACACTGCACAGAGACTTGTCAGAAAAATTTGAACTTAGTTCAAGAGTTACAACAAGAAGTTGCAAAATTAGTGGATGTGACTCGGGAGAAGAATCACGAAATTGAGCGACTAAACTCGACGATTACTTTGCTAAATAAAGACTTGGCCAACTCTCGTTTAAACATCGATTTCTTAAATTCCTATTTAGTGCGATCCAACCAAATCAACTTCTCTGAAGGTTTACCTAAATTTTATTAATTATCCAATTTTTATTCCATGATTATTCTAGAAGTCAATCAAGTGGTCAACTCGAGCGATGACTCCTCCTCCGAACACATCACCGGGGAAATCCTCAACCAAGTTCGTTCGAAACTCTCCCTCCTCGAGCAAGAAAGCGCCCAATTAGACCTCCGTTTGAAAAAACTCAACCTAGTTACAAAATAGTTTATTTCTCATTCAGTGAAACAGTTAACAAAATAGAAACGTTTGTACAAAATATAATACATAACTATGAAATTGACACTTAATTAGTTTAGGCACAAATAAAAATATTTCTTCTTAGTTTAATTTTTGAAGACTTGCTCGAGGTGAATTCGCACCAGTGATCCGGAGCCACGAACTGGAAGAAGGCGATTGGAACGTTACTTTCGAGGAGGCGTAGCGCGGAGGCGTGGCTAATGACGAGTGAGGCGGAGTGTTGATCTTCGACCGGGGCCAACTAAAAACACCTGTAACGAATGCTCATTTTGTTGGCAGTGACTCACCTCTCACGCTCCGCCTCTGAATAAAGCCCAACATTATGGAACCACCTGTAAATATTCGGGTATTTTCCCGGAGTTATACAACAATCTGATAATTTTAAAGCTTTATAGAGGGCGTTGTCAATCTTAGTCGGCTGCGTCCCTTCAATAAACACTTCGACGGTCAGAGGAACATCACTAAAATCTGCTTCATTGTCCGAATCATAAATTTTGCTCGGGCTTTCAGGTGGCGTGTAGAAATCATCATCCGATGATGAAGTTTCCACTGAAATATCGTCATGACTCTCGGCTCCGCATCCTACAAAAATACTCACCATCAATCCGTTCAAAAAACAGTTTCTTTGCTGTCTTCATACGTGAGTGCCTCGCGCTGTTATTCCGACTCAACCCGAGAGTTTTTCGCGACTTTTTGAAATGGAAAACGCACGTACACTCTTTTGTTTTGATCCAAGCGTCTCGGCATACTTGTTCTTCGTCCAATTCGTGACACGGCTCAGTGTCTTGATTAAAATTATTTAAAATGTTTTGCATCAAACAGATCAATTGTTTTTTTGATGATGTCGGCTTGTTGTCTTTCGGGTAATTCCCCTCATCGTCGGATGAAAAACAATCGAACGCTTTCACACACTCGGTTACGAATTTGTTAATGTTTTGGATGTAATTATTTCGCGATGATTTTTCGATAAAATAGCACATTTTCTGACTTGTCAACAGACCTAACCGGGGATGCAATTGAGAGAAATTAATTTTGTTAAAACGGTAATCGTCTAAATAACTTAAAATCAATAATTCGACTTGTTTTGTTTGCATTTCGAGAAGGGAAACTTGCAATGAAAAATCATCAAATATCCGATGATAAATCTCACTCGCGATTCGATTCGCAAAAACGTTACAAGCCTTTTCAACACATAAAAACGAATTAAAACCGGACTTTTCCTCGCAACTTTCATTAATGTTACAATTCTGCATTTGCAAACACAAATCCGCGATCGTACTTAAGGATTTTTTCGTCATTTCCTCCGGCGAATCCGGTGATAAGTATGACTTATCCATTGATATGACTTTCGCCAATAGATAATTCTCCACCAAAGCTAAACCTTCATTGGACGCAATATCAACGAAACAATCCAAAAACGACCAATACTCTTTCCAATTAACGTCAAATTTATTGGCCAATTTCTGACCTAATCGCTCCAAACCTTTCGATGGGTCTGTGTACCGCAAAGAAAACACCGAATCAAAAGAATCATCGTGGCGTTTCTTGATTGGTGTACTTGTCCGGGGTGGAGTCTTCCACACTTTACGGAATTGCTCCGCCCCTTCTTTGTTCATTGGTCCAGCAAAGGCGTGAATCTCTAATCGTGGACTCAAAGGGTCCTTATTGACGACCTACAAGTAAATTTTTAGTTTGGTTTATTAAGACAGGGCTACCAACCGGTGATCGTCCAGGCGAAAACGGTTCACCAATCAGTGGTGCCACGGAGTTATCCTCCGCTCGAAGCACAGGAACGTAATACGAGTTTTCTAAATGCAAAGCAATTTTCTTTTTAATAACAGTCGACGCTTCAATATTGTCGCAACGATCACAAATAATCTAAAATTTTACTTAGAAAACTGTCATTTTAGAACTAGGGGATTACCATGTCTGGAGTTTGTCCGTATTTATTTTTTAATTTTTTATCACACTCGGGAAACGAAACCAAGACTTCGACGACGTCCAGCGCACCGAATTTGGAAGCGAAATGGAGTGGTGTCTCGTTGAGACCCTTGTCAGGAGTATTTAGATACAAGTCTAGCAAGACCTGAATGCGAGTTTCAACATTTTCATTAGCGTCATCACCATATAAGAGTTTGACAAATTCCGGATTCGAAATGGTGCTCAAGATAAGTTCGGCCAAGACTCCGTTTTTCGCTTTCGCCGCTACGTGAAGCGCGTTGTAACGAAAACCTTCCTAAAACACCACACCATTTTGATGTAAAAATCGCCTAAAATGGGGCTGTACCTGGAGGATGGACGGGGTGTCTCCACTGCTGACTAGATATCTGGGGTTCTCCCAGACCGCTTGTCTGAACGTGTCCACATCCCCCGTCTCAATAGCCTTGCGCAACTTGACGAGATCCTGAGGTTTGGGGCCCTTGAAAGGGCTCAGTCTTTCGTTAACAATCTGCGAATTTAAACTTTTGACCGATTCGTTAACGAGTGGAGAATTCGGAGCCTCCACAACGCCCACACTTGCGAATTTCAACGCTTCAGGCAAAAATTCGAAATGTTTGAAGCGAGCTTTCTTCGTCTTCTTCACCATCTTCATGGCTTCGACTTTGTCCTTGAAGATGCAGTCGCATGCTTGGGTGCCTTTCTGGCGAACGTCTTGTGGGATGAAGACGGCGTAGAAGTCGCCAGGTAAGGGAGTTTCGAGGTTATCAGCGAAACTAGCCGCTTCTTCGCTGAAAGACGGTGAGTCTTCGTAGGGTTGCTCCATTTTAAGTTAACCATGTGAAAAAGATAAAGCAAACATTTTGCGAGACAGGTAAGTAGACGTAACGACTTTTGTTACAAAAAGAGAGTAAATAAATTAGTTATAAATTTTGAATAACACGTCAAATGCAAACTGCAACTAAACTGTCAAATGTCAATGACATGACTGCGAATAGCAAAACAACGAAAACACCGACGCGCTAGATTTAAAAAATTCAAATTAAATTCCAATAATTTCATTTTTAGTTATTAAATGCAAATAACACACTATTTTTCTCTAGCAATGTCCTTTGTTGTACTAATTTTAACAACTTCTTTCCCAGGATTTCTAAAATTTATTTCATAATAAATGGGTAAGTACTAAAAATTAAAAGGAGAAAATAAAGGCGGATACTTTCTCCTAAAAGTAAAATTAATTGTCATTTTTAAATGATTTATTTAAACACTTAAAAGCACAAACATATGACAGTCAAATTCCTTTATGAAAAAATCTTAAAACTTAACTGAGAAGTATCACAGAAATTTGACTTAAAGATAATTAAATGTAACTCATTTCTAGTCAGTGGCAACATTAACGTGTGCTCATTAAATCACACACTCACACATAGGAAACGTAACTTAAAAAACCTAACCCTAAATGTACAAAAAAACAACAATCTTTCACAAAGTAGAAAAAGTGATTAGCCCATTGCTCTCTTCACAAGACTAGTTATATAATAAATTTGGAATAGTCACAACATGATTAAAATGTCTTTATTTTTAATGGACAAATACTATAAAATCATTTGCACGGTCGTGGCTTTCAATATTTGGTAACCATCGCCACAGCCCCATCAAGTCTCATCAATACTTTGCAAATTCGGCTACGCGATAACGAGCGGCTCGTCATCTGAAAACCCTGTAATTTGCGGGCTCTCCTCCTCCTCCAACCCATTATCATCAAAGGTCGCCGCACCTGACCGCGTATCATAATGCGAATTTGCAAACCTCGTGAAACTATTCTGCAATCGGCGATGTTTCACTATAAACAAACCTAGGGTTAGCACTACGAGTATTGACAGAATAGTGAGTACCAAAATCAACCAGAGGTTGGTACCTCCCATCGTCGTGGGGGCTTCCAACACTGTTGCACTTAACTTTTCCGAAGTGATCGATTTGTACCCACTATCAGTCACGATTTGGACTGCAAAAGTAAACATATTTGATGAACTATTACTGTAGATAAACGGCGGTTTGTCCACTCGAAACCGCCTCGCCGTCGCCTCGTCCATAGTATTTCCCTCGGAGACCAAAACTTCATATTTGTAAGGCCCTACATCCTTGGGGACATCAGCTTCCTGCCATTCGACGATGAAACTACCATTAGGTGCAATGGATGTTTTTACTTCGTGGGGAGGTAAGATTGGTGGAGCGTAATAAGTCACATTAGGTGTGTAGATGGCGCCAATTTCTCTTGTTGCTACACTTATGTCATAAATAGCGCCGTATTTCACATTCAAAACGTGACTGTAATTTCCGGGTGGTTTGCCATATAATGAATCCACACCTGTAGTTCTTTCATAAACACGGATCTAAAAACAAAAAATTACTAATTAGTTAAAAGTGACTATCGACATACAATATGGCCTATGGGTTCGGCGATAGTCGGACACGAAGGCAACCAAGTAATCAACATTTTCATTGGGTTATAGTCCACTTCCTTGACAGTCAATTTTTTCGGCGGTGCCTTCTTGTTCATAAAAGTATTGATTTGTAAACTCTTTGATAGGGGACCTTGGCCGTAAGGCCCCACAACCCCAACCTTGAAAGTATAAAATTCGCAAGCTTTTAAATCGCTGATAGTCGTTGTCAAATCAGTCGTTTCATATCTCGATTCTAAAAAAAAATATTTACAATACAAGCCCCAACCGAGAGTGATTCAAATTACTTTCATACAACTCATCGGCGTCAATCCCATAATAAACACCGTAGGTCCATGTAACCTTCCTCGAATCTTTTGGAACTCCCCAACTCAATTTGACGGAAGTTCCGACTTCCTTGACCAACTTTCCTTGAAGTGAAGGCACTTCTGGCAACATGACGCCATCCGTGATCACTATTATATCAACTTCGGGGCCAGTAAACGCATTCTTGTACGCGTTGATCTTGAATGTATAGCGCGTACCGGGCGCTAACTTATCGACAGTGATCGATTTCGTTTTAGTGACACGTGACAACATTCGAGGGTAATCATTGGGTGGAATTATCGCGACGGTGTAGCCTTCAACTGTTTTGTTATATTTCCATGACAAGGTGACACTGTTTTCGGTCTTTTTGTCGACTTTCACGTTTTGGATTTCGTGGAGTTTTGCATCACCGTCGAATTTCAGTTTAGTGACCTTAGACTGCTTACTTTCGTATTTCTTATTGTGCGCAATTACCTAAAAAAAAAAAAATAGTAACCAATGTTACGGTATTTTTGTATTATTAATTACGTAAAAATTGTATTCTCGATTAGGCTCGAAGTAAGCGGAGAGTAAGTGGGCGGTCTCGTTTCCGTTCAGTTTCAATTTGATTGGTGGACGCGGCGGGTACCAACCTATCTCGTAATTGATGATTTGACCGTTAGGGTGCGTTGGTTTATTCCAAGACAAAAGTACATGAGAACCGTTTGTTTGAACAGCTGTCACGTTCCACGGCGGACTTGGGACACCTGAAAAAATATGTTTTAAATCGGTTATAACCATAAAAACCGAGAATTACTCTCTGCCGTATAAGCGATGAAATATTTCGCCGGTAGAAATACTTTCGTCGTATTCTGAATCCTAACATATATCGTCATATTATATTGCGTTGCTGGTTGCAAATTCGTAAATTTATATTCCGTATCGTTCATCCACGTTTTGTTCTCCCACAAATTCTCCCCTACTTTACTTATCGACGGTAAAAATTCTAATTTACCGACAGGTGGGTCTGTAATCCACCAATACAGCAAAAGACTCGTCTCGTTGATACTTCTCTCGTCAACACCCATATGCAACACTTGATACACCCTCGAAGTTGTCGAGCAATTTGATTCGTCGTAACCGTCACGACAATCGACACGCCCATCACATAATGCAGCCAATGGATAACAACTTCCTCCATCGCAAGGGAAGTACCCTTTCGAACACGAAGGCGTGGCTGGTCCACTAGGTAAATTATGATCGCATAACGACTCATCTGTCAAATCAGGACAATCCGGAAACAGGTTACAGACCGCCGACAACGGTATACAACTTCCGTCCACATGACACTTGAACTCATCTTTGGTGCAATTTCGCACACCTTCGCAGTGACGTTCATCTTCACCGCCTACACAATCCTCCATACCGTCACACACCCACGACGAAAAGATACAAGTCCCGCCCATACACTCGAATTGGTTGTTACCACAAAGTGGGCCAGGAGACGTGGTTGTGGGCTTGGACGTAGAGGCGTGACTTGGGAAACAGCCGAGTTCATCACTGCCGTCGCCGCAGTCATCGGCCTGATCACATTTCCACCAATAGGGGATGCAACGCTGGTTCTGACATCTAAACATCCAATCCTGACAAGTCCCATTCTAAAAATAACCAATCAAATTTAACTGAAATGAAATAAGTTTACTCACTTTAGGTATAAACTGATCAGGGTCAATGGTAACGGAGATTGCGGGGGTTGTACAATTGACTTCATCACTACCATTGGGACAGTCCTTATCGCCATCGCATACCCATGTTTTGTAAATGCAACGATTACTAGGCTCACCGCAGGAAAATTGAATGTCAAGACACGTATTGTTTTTACAATTTGTTTCATCGGAGCCGTCTCGACAGTCTTTTTCGCCGTCGCATTGCCACGTCGTTGGTATACATTTAACACCGCCGGTTTTGCACTGGAACTCCTCACCTGAAACTTCACAAGTCACATACTGTATTTTTTCTTGAATCAACTTACTTTTACACACGTGAGGCTCCACTGGTTCGCAATTGAGTTCATCTGATCCATCCCGACAATCGTTTTCGCCGTCACACTTCCATTTCTCTGCGATACATCGTCCATTTTTACAAGTAAATTGACCATCGGTACAGTTCTGTTTCGGACAATCCAACTCATCTGAACCATCAGAACAATCATAATCGTAGTCACACTTCCAATACTGAGGCAAACATTTTCCATCTCCACATACGAAATAATTCGGTGGGCAACTCTGCAACCCACAGTGTGCCTCATCGGAGGAATCCCCACAATCGTCTTCGCCGTCACATTTCCACCCTTTAGGAACGCACAATCCGTTCCGGCACGTGAAATGATTCGAACTGCAGGTGTTTTGTACCGGTGGACAAGTAAAGTTGGCCAATGGGGGTACATGACCCGGACAGAGACACCGACCATTGTTATACTCCATACCGTCGGGGCACAAACAGGAGAAATTCTTTTTCGGTTTACCAACACAAATGTAGGAACATTTTGAGACGGTGCACGCATTGGTGCCCACTTGAACGCCATGAGCATATACTTTAAGATCCATAAGACCGGGGAGCTGCTTTTGGAGGACTTCCACGCCGTGATAGGTGTCTTTATCGGCGCTGAAAATAGCATTGCGTTTCCAATCATCCCAATACATTGTGTTTTTGAAGACGGCGACGGCAAACGGATGCGAGACGACGTCATTTCGCGAGATTATAATCTTGAGGAAGTCGCCGTGGAGGTCACTGGAGGCGATGTAGTCTTGACGGGCGTCCACCCAGTAGATGCGTTCGGCGATGTAATCGATGGTTATACCATTGGGCCACTCGACTCGAGGTTTACCGAAAAGTTTGACGACATTTGAACCGTCCAAATCGGCTCGATTGACCGAAGGCCGTTCCACGGACCAATCAGTCCAAAACATGTACCCAGCTTTGGGGTGAAGAGCTATTCCTCGAGGTTTCTTCAAAACGTCGCCTTTTAACACAGTCCTCCTCATCCTCCCGCTATGATTAACATCAGTTCTAATCAACTCGATCTTCGATCTAATCCCATCAACGAAATACAGAGTGTTTGAAATCCAATCCAAAGCCATACCTTCAATCGAGGCCAAATCACTCGAAACCAAAATTTCCGGCTCACTGTCATTCAAACACTGTCTTCCGATCGTATCTAATGCAATATCGGCCCAATAAACGCAATTATTCCTCATATCGAAATCAATCGCGATCACATTTTTTAAATTCCTCACCGGAAGCTCTTCCAATTTCTTCGTTACGAGATTCAACCGACTGATTTTCTCCCTCTGTGCAAACAACAAGAAATCGTCAACCTCATTAAACGGACACGGAATTTCCTCCGGCATGTAATGATTCTCGAAACCGTCGACGCAAACATCGCCTTGGATTTTCCGATAACCTTTCGTTCGTTTGTAGAATTTCCCTGGTTTACAATTTGGGGGCACCTGGTAGGGATCGTTAACGATAGAAGTATTCCGGATGCAATTACCGGGTTTTTCCGAACGAACAAAACCAAAATCGCACTCGTAGTCGTAAATATCGCACCCGCACGGTGTCATCGATATAGGGACGTCGAAATTCTCGCCATTGTAACAATTAGCGTGGGGCATGCGACGGTGGTAGGTAATTTGTTGGCCCATAACGCACGGGATGTAACTACGATTTTCATCACTTTGGCTTGGCGACCAGGGCTTGTAGTCGTCCTTTGAACAATTATACGCAAAAGCCTTTATCAAATCCAGCTTGATAATAATCCATTGATGTTCCTCGGGTAAGGACCCGAACATCGTAAAGACTGTCGTGTTTTCCCCCGGTTCCGTCATCAGTCCATACAACCTAATATTTTGATCGTGAAAAGCAGCCTGTTTCCACGTTTCCCCCTCATCAGTCGAATACAAGACATGCCTAGTCTCCCCCCTCAATTTAAAATATTTCACCGCTGTTAAAATTCCTCCATGATCCCCCATATTGAAGAAATATAAATCCCTCAACGTCTGTCTCCACGTCTGTCCCGCATCACTACTTATATAAACTCCGTAATGTCCCTTGAGCGATTTTCCCAAAACACCAGTTGCGATGATAAGCCCTGGAGCCGATTTACTCGATAGAATACTGATAGATCTCGTATCGGGATACAATTGACTGAACTTTTGACTCAAATGGAGGGAGCAATTCTGTTGGACGGAACAGGAAGTGGGTTGGCCTTCGACGTCACGGAAGGGGGCTTGGATGAGACGCCACGATCGACCATGGTCAAAGGTTATAACCGAGCCTAAGTGTTGGGGCCCGAGATTGTTACCCTGAGGTTTGGTTAAAACATGCGAAGCGATGTAAATACCAGACAACCCTTCAACTTTGTACACGTCGGCAAAAGCTTCCTCGGAGACGTGGTGTATCCAAGTGTCATGCCATGTGCTATTCGGAAAGTAGCAAAGAACGTCTTCTAAAGACAATGTAAACTTGACAATACCGTCACTGTTATCTAAATTCTCCGAAACGTATAAATGTGAGACCGTATCGGCATGACTCACGGCCACTAGTGCCCTGTTTGAGGTCACATCCACAATGAAATAACTTCGAATCTCTAATGCCGTGTCAAAAACGCATTTAATTTTCTTCCCTAATTTATACGAGACGTACAATTCGAGCACTCCTTTACTCGACAATTTCGTCGTGAAGAGATAATCGCCTTTGACGTAGAAATCTTTAATACCGGTAGCTTGGACCATCACCGTCCGATTCGAGAATAAATCGCTCGATGATAAAATCGCGTTATAACCGCTCGGTTCCATCCTTTGTACCAACAAAGTGTGTCTAAAATCATTCTCTTTGATCCAATAAGTCGCCTTGACGAAATCCTGAGTCGCTCGAAAACTATTCCCGAAATCTTCAGTCACCCATAACTTATGCACAGAATCGACTTTATCCAAAACGACAAACACTGAAGGTTGCAATTCGTGAAACGAAACGTCACTCGGTGTAAAATCTAAATCGATACGTTTTATATCCCGGCCGTGATTCGCAGTCACGTAGAGGACTTTATGGTTTACATCGGCAAAAACAAACTAAAAAAAATAGAATGAAATATGGTTTCAAACACTTGTTTCGCCTTCTTACATGCGTGTTGTATTTCGGATGATTGTAAAACTTTTCCAAAGTGGCATAAGAGCCGTCCGATAATTTAAAAAGGTCAGTTTTGTTCATGTAGGTATCGCCATAATCGTAGGAAATATAAACGGCCGATGGTCCAACTTTCACATCTCCAGCCAATGTTTCAAGGGACGAATGACGAGCTAGACATATTATGACGTTGCTACCTTCGCCAACCCAATGCACCATCAATTGTTTGTGGGTATCATTTAGGTAATTTATCTGTAAATATTAACAAAGCTTATCAGATATAAAGTCTAAGTAAAACAAAAGAACAGTAATAAATTTTTTATTGCGCAGCGGGCTGTACCCGGTAACTAGAAAGTATCTTTTGTTTTCTAAAAATGACAGGTGATATTCGTAGGAAACCTTTTGTTTCGAGATAAAGTTATATCGTTTCTGTTTGCAAAACTTCTTGTTATCTGCTGAGCTTGTTTAAAATTAAATAAAACACAAATTTTCCTCGCAAAATCTATTAATATATTTTTTTAATATTATTTTTGAACAATATGTATGCTTCAAAATTCTTCGGACCTTTTATATAGTCGTTGACATCGTAGCTTAGCCCACTTTGTTCATGTAGCACACTTACCTTACACGAATTTTTATTTGAAAGTAACAAACGTGTTATCTACGGGTTTATTATTTATTATTTGTTATTTATTATTTGTCAATTACTAATTATTACGTATTTACCATTTACTAGAACATTCCCTGATTCATTGTTTTTTGTTAATTCGTTACCTAATTTATATAAATCGATTTGTCTATAAAGTGGCGGTCACTGAAAAGTAATACTCGGGATTTTGACATCCTCTCAAAATTTAAAAAATTGCATAATGTAATTTTTTCTTTGTCGTGATTGTCTCTGTTCTGTCATTTTCAGTGTCACTGAAAACGTCACTTTTGACAAATTAGCAGTGGTGGACGCCGTCAGGAAAATTTAAAAATGCCGTAATTGTCGAATGTACAGAAATCTATTATTATTACAAGATTAAGGGACAATGTCCCTCTACGAGTCATCGCAAAGGAAATAAATGTGAACATAAATGACTGTCCTTAAAACAAAGAAGATTCTAGTGACATTTTAAACATGACAGAGATTGTCAATTTCAAGGGAAAATTTACAACGCCAAATTTTTTTTATTTGTCAAGTACATTACTTTTCAATGGCCACGACTGTACCTTTGCAGCAGAGTCGTAATATTTTTGTCAGTGATGATTTGTACAACTTCTTACGCAACTGATGTGTCGGGAGGCCAGTTTGGCACTTGCTTTTGTACGAAATAGAAGTACAATAAAATTGTTGAAACAGATAAATTGTTTTATTTATCAAATTCGGAACAAATAATTATATTAAAATACGACTTAAGCAAGAGCCCGAAATTTCGATACGACCCGCGTAGCGGCGAGTTGAAAAACAAACGATTGCTTGCGTGGCCTTCTTTGTAACAATTGGCAAGTTTATTGAAAGCAATTTATTTCAATTGTCACCAACATTGAAACATAAAATACACTATAGGCTAGTAGCGCACTCTGAGAAGCCATAACTGCAAAAATTGCTCAAAATGCCTTCCATTGCTTCAGTTGAATGAGACTGAAAGCTAAGCAATTGCTTCATAAATTGTCATCGTTTTTAATTTATCATGACCAACTTGATCAACAAATTGATTGCTACTCTTTGCTAAGCTGTAACTCTTTAACGAGTAACGATAGAAAAAAAAATTGAAACTTTTTTTCTCAGAATGACATTTTCGAACACTGGTTAAGGTATGGCGGTTTACTTTTGAGACACTGTATATTTCAAAAAATTTGTAGGCAATAATTAAAATATGAAAAGTCAGATAAAAGATAATTGCCGACCTTCAAATGTTCCATGTTTATCACTATACTATTTTTTAATGTACGGTCCACAATATTGTCACGAATTATAAAGTGTTCTTTTTTTTGAAATACTGAAATTAAATCAAACAATAATTGAAATAAGCAATAATTTTCCACCATCAAAATTATGTAAAATCTAAAATTTCTTATCACTATTGTAAAAAAAATTCGATCAAAACAGGGGTATCTCTCTTGGTTATAGAACAATTTTAATAACAGATAATTATTTGTTATATATTTAAATAATTAAAACAAACAGCGATAAAACAGGTCCGTTATTTTTACGATAATTTTGTATAATTTTAAAGAACTACAAACTGGAAAATAACAATATCCTAATTGAATCGGTGGGTGGAAAAAGTCCAGTATCGTTTTCAGAAACTAAAAAAAAGTTGCATTCACACCAGAATCGTGTTAAGCGATGATTCATTCAAGTGAGACAATTTTCGTGATAATCTAAATTTAATAGAAATAATATGACGACTTCCCTTGGTCGCACTTAACTGACAGTGTCCTTTCATATTACCCGTAATAAACAGGAAGTTCATTAAATATAGATACGGGCGGTAAATCGAGGGTGACAAAATTTCTTAGCCAAAATGCGTTTTGGATCGGGGATTCCCTGGATTAGAAAAAATTGCGCAATAAATCCCCTAAACATGACGAATCGATTCTGTAAATAAAGACACACAAAAGAAAACCGCTGCCAAACAAACAACCCCAGATATTTATAAAACTGCAATTCAGTAAAACGCAGATCAAAACCGGCTACGTAGATAGCAAACGACCGGCGTAATTACCTTTTGTATGATTTTACTGTCATCAGTCGTCACGATAGATCTTTTTTCGAGATTGTGTCCTCCGTTTTCGAAATTCCGCTCAATAATGAAGGTTTTTTTGCCATTGTTCGGTGGGTCTTCGTATCCGTGTATCGTCCGTCTGTATTTCTCGTGTTCTGCCGTGCCATTTTCGACGAAATAATGGCACAACAATAACAAAACAAGGAGACAGTTCATTTTTGAGCACCCATTCACAACAACTGTCAGCTGATGACTGAAAGAAATGCGTCATGTGTCAAAAAAATGGTAATGCAAAGTGCGCATGCGGCATCAAATACAAGACCGCGAAATTTAAATTTTTGCAAACAATTTGTTATATATAGAATTATTTTTGCCTAAAATTCGCGTGCGATTTATCAAAAAACAGGTTTATGGGGTTAGATAAGCAAAATTAACAAAATTTGACATGTTTTATTAAATAATTATACCGCCATTATGGTTTTAATAGACTAAATTGAGGATGTGGCGAGTCAAGCTGTACAAAGCGGAGCAGCAATTGTAATGCTTTACCTATTTATAATAAATACAAAAAAAGTAGATAATGAAGTGAATCATATTCATGTGACTGTTACCAGTCGTGGTTATCTTATCGCCGACAAATAAAATAACTCAAACTTTAAAAAAATGTATATTTTTGTTGAAATTAATAATAGACAGGGGAAAATTTAACTACAGCACCATTCGTAAGCGTTTTTAAACATCTTCTCCCAAGGACTTTTCTGGAAGTGTTGCCAACTTGGCGGCATGTATGGCCATAAATAGGGTTGGTCGCAACGTTCGGGATGCGGCATCATGGCCAAATGGCGGCCATCCTTGGAGCAAATTCCTGCAGTACCGGCAATACTACCATTGGGGTTCATCGGGTAAGTTTCAGTGGGGTTCCCCTCATCGTCAGTGAATCTCAAACCGACGCAATGATTTTTAACCAAATCGTCATAAATTGAGGAATTCTTGAAGGTGAATCTGCCTTCACCGTGAGCTGACCACACGCCAAAAACAGACTCATGCATGTCTTTCAACATAATAGCTGGGGATTTTTCAATTCGGATTGTATTCCACCGGCATTCAAATCTTTCAGAAATGTTGTGTTCGAGGACAATGTTTGGTGTGTTGTCAGCACTGAGTTCGCCAATCCACCCGATCATCGCCATAAGTTGGCAACCGTTGCACACACCCAGACTGAAGGTGTCAGGCCGAGCGTAAAACCGGTCAAATTGCTCCTTGACTGTGTTATTGAAAAGGATACTGCCAGCCCAACCCTTCGCCGACCCCAAAACATCTGCAAATTAAATTTTATTTGGGATTTTGTCACTATTAAGTTGCCTTACCGGCATAACTGAACCCTCCAGGGAATATAATCCCCCGGAACTGAGCCAAATCCACCTTTCCACTAAGCAAATCCTGCATCGTTACATCCCAGACTTTAAATCCGGCTCTGACTAAAGCCGCCGCCATCTCTCGGTCACCATTCGTACCCTCCTCTCTTAAGACGGCGACTTTCACAACCGCCGGTTTTTTAACCGCAGATTCTGAATCCGGGTCAAAAGTCAGTTTGTACTGAGGGTGTTTTCGTGATGTGAGCGAATTGAATTCAGAGTCGGCACATGATTTTATCGTCTGTTGGAGCTCCAACTTGTAGCTAGTTTCCTCCCACATGCGCATAAGTGGCAACACTGTACTTTCAATACAAGCGTTGTTGACAGAGATTGTGATTTTCGAATCGACATCACAACCGATACTTTTACCTATTTTATACACCGGAACATTATATTTCTAGAACAAAAAAGCATCAGTACAAAGTGCAAAAAATTGATTTATTTTACCTCAAACACATCCATACAATGTTTCAAATCACCATCCAACACTTCTAAAACCCAGCCTACTTCCTCATTGAACAAAATCGGAATTGTTTTCCCTTGTTTGTGACCGATTTGGACTTCCATTCCGCTAATTCCAGCGAAGCACATTTCCAATAAACATACAATCAAGCCACCGTCGCTGACATCATGTCCGGCTAGTATAGCGCCATCTCTTATCAACTTCTGTGTGGCAATAAATGCGTTTTTCAACTCTTCCACATTATGTACATCGGGGCTTTCCTTGCCTAATTGTCCAAACACTTGTGCGACTGCAGTGCCACCTAGCCTATTGTACCCATGCGACAAGTCGACATACAGCAAATGTCCGACTTTTCCGATCGCTGGAGCTTTCAAATCCGGAGTCACAACTTTCCGTACATCCGGACACGGCGCATAAGTCGAAACGACTAAAGTTCCAGGTGCCTTGACTGTGTCTCTACCAACCCTCGCAGCCATGCTTAGGGAATCTTTACCGCCGTCTATAGCAATTCCAAGGCCTGACATGATATCGCACATGGCTTTACAAGCGTCGTAGAGGGCAGCACCTTCACCCGGCAATTTCGCCGCCCACATCCAGTTACCACTGCATTTGACGTCACGAATGTCACTAATGAGAGCAAAAACAAGATTCGAGAGGGCTTCGGCGACTGTCATACGAGCACCGGCGGCTGTATTGACGAGACCTTTGATCGGTTGTTCGCCGATAGATGACGCTATACCCTCGTAGCCAAAATGCGAGATTGCCGTGACGGCAACATCGGCAAGTGGGGTGTGAAGGGGGCCCACGCATTGTTGCTGAGCGATAAGACCGGTAACACAACGGTCGACTTTATTGGTAAGGTAGCGCTTGCTGGACACCGAGGGTAAACGCAGAACGCGCTCCAAAGTGCTGTAAATCGAGAGGGCGACAGGAAGGGTAAGCTCTTTAAGGAGGGGCGTTTTGCGCTCAAGTTTGAACACTTTTTGTGGCATTTTCCCTAAAAAAAAAAAAATTTGAAAAAACTGAAAATTATTTTTTTTTCTCACAAACCTAATACATGTGTCAGTTCTAAATTAAACGGTATGACTTTTTGTGACTCATCCATGGCCAAAACAACTCTTCCGGTTCCGGTAACTTCACCAACAATGTTGATTGGGCAACGTTCGCGTTTGCAGATGTTTCTCAACAGTTCTAAATTTTCTTTTTCACACAAGAGGGCGTTGTTTTCCTGGTATTCGGCACCCCATAATTCAAGGACGTTGATAGTGGGATCGCCCAATTCGAATTTGTTGGCATAGATTATACCACCTACTGGTTCAACGAGTTCCTTGAGGACGTTTCCGTTCCCACCAGCACCTTGATCGTGGATACTCACTATGGGGTTGTCTTTACCCAATTCAAGACACGCACGTACCACCCGGTTGAGTTTCTGCTCCATTTCGGCGTCACCTTGAAAAACACCAGTCACATACAGGATTTTTTTCTACCGTGAAAATTATTCTCTTTTAGTAGTAGTAACACGATTAATTACAAAACAAAACACACTCGACATGACTTGACTCACCAATAATAAAGACCCAATGAAATGACTGTAGAAAATAGAATTGTAATTGTGATAAAAACGGTGTTAGAAAAAATTAATATACCTCTCTGCACTGCATTGAAGTCAAGTTCGGCCTTATTATCCCCCTGGACCTCCACCGAGCTCGCTGACCCTCCCCCTACTCCAATCCTATAAACCGGGCCTCCGATTTTAATAATCTGGTGCCCCTTTTTCGGGGGAAATTTGTCTGTCATAGTGGCTTCCATTGTTCCGATTCCTCCACTAAACATAATCGGTTTGATCCACTCTTTCCTCTCTCCCGCCGCATCCACCATTCCGAATGACCGCACAAAACCGCTAATCAAAGGCTCTCCGAATTTGTTTCCGTAGTCTGAAGCCCCATTGCTGGCCTCGACAAGAATTTCGAGCGGTGGCGCGAAATTATTCGGATATTCGAAAGTGGAGTCTTCCCAGGGGAGGTTATAACCGGGAATGTTGAGATTGCCGACTGAGTAACCGGCCGTACCGGCGATGCAGTAACCGCCGCGGCCGACGCTTTGGACGTCGCGGATTCGACCGCCGGTTCCAGTGGTGGCGCCGCTGAATGGGGCGACACCAGTGGGGAAATTGTGCGTTTCAGCTGTGAAAATTAGGTGAGATTCGGCGGTGGTTTCGCGGAGTTCGCTGGTGGAGCCCGAAGTAACGGGACGGAGGCTGCGATGGACGTAGCCTTTCATGGCACTAAAAAAGAGATATTGATCAAATCATTATCATTCCAGTCATTAGTAATTTTATGTGTAAAAAATTTAAACCAACAATAAAATGTTGTTTTGCAACTGTCTTAGTCGTTTACGTAATCATAATCATTATCACATGGACGTCAACCGCTTTTTCGCTCGCCCTAATCATTATCAAAATAATTACCGTTATTACAAAGATTAAAATTGTTGATTCCGATCATTACCGTTTGATAATCTTAGTAATAATAACGCACCGAAATAACTTTTTGTAAATTCAGTACATTATATAGGATGTTCCGTTTTTACTGTTTCAAATTTAAACAGGTGATAGGATATGCAATTCTAAGACAAAAGTTTCCTATAAACATGTATCGCAAAAGGCTTGGTAAGGGAGCTACACCCCCTGAATGGGGACTAATAGGATTTTTGCTAACATTTTAAAAACCATTTAAGATAAAATTACAAAATTTGCTACAGAAGATAATCTTTATACACCTAAACGAATTCAAACATCAAATGTCGAAATTTCTAATCATGGGCGTCCGAAACTGGTGGGGTTTAGGGTAAAAAAATACCATATCTATTTTGGCTCTAGTTTCTTTAGTTATGCATTAACCAAAATGGTGGTCACTTTGAACATCTCCTTTAGATTTAGGCAAATTAATTTAATTAATGTTATTATTGTTACTGTAATGTAATGTTAATTAGTTGAGGTTGATTAAAAAATATGCATTTCTTGCTTTTATTGTTCTGTAAATTCTGATTTATTTGAATGTTGTATATTGGTGTGTAACATAAATTTTAAATTAATTTTATTGGAAAACAATAAGTCGTATTAACACAAGAGAGACTTCTCTGTGATAAACTATCAAACTTAAGATTTTGTTGCTGAAAGTACCGAGAAACTAAAGCCAAAATAAATAGGGTATTTTTTTACCTTAAACTCCCCCAGTTTCGTACGCCCCTGATTAAAAATTTCGACATTTGATGTTTGAATTCGTTTAGGTGTATAAAGGTTATCATCTGTACCAAATTTTGTAATTTTATCCTTAAATGGTTTCTGAAATATTAGCAAAAACAGATTAGCCCCCTTCCAGGGGGTGTAGCTCTCTTACCAAGCATGTTTATATTGATGTTTATAGGAAACTTTTGTCCCACAATTGAATATCCTATCACCTGTTTAAATTTGTAACAATAAAAACGGAAGATCCTGTATATCGTAACACCAAGATTATGATCTTGATCTTTGTATGTCGTATTATTATTGGATTATTGTAATATCTCATAATAAAAAAATACAATCATCGTCTTAATCAGTATGACTCATTCAGTCATACAATCATTGACTTTTTGTAAAATCAAATCCATATATTATCATTACCTCAAGATCTAATTTTAATCTCTTAATTACTTTATTCTTCATATAGTTAATGTAACCTTTTATTCATCTTAAAAAAATATTAAATCAGCAATCTATTTTCGCCGTTTACGCAATTACAATCATTATCATATTCACTTTTGTATCTTAGTTACTGCAATTATAACAACGAAATAATTAACCGCTCTCTCACTTGTCCTGATAATAATCATTATCACAATCACATATTACAATTTTCAAAATCATTCTGGTCATTATCACAACCGCATTTACGATCATAACCCCAGTCAGTAATTGCGCATTCAACATGACTCATTCATTCAAGCCACTCATTGTCACAAGTTTTTGTAAATTTTAATTCATAACGTGTCAGTAATTCGCAGAGCTCGGAAAATATGCACTAAAAAACACTAAAATGTGCATGCAAATATGCACAGAAAACTGTCAAAATATGCACTAAAAACATGCTATTATGCTTCTTAATATGCATTTATAAAATAACAAAGTAATAAAGTTTTATTGACTATTACTAGCGTTAAAACAGTTTTTTCTAAGTTTTCTAGAAAAAAATGTCATCTAGCTGTTAAAAGTAATTAGTGGGAAAAAGGAAATTATCTGTTTTTTATTAATATTTACAAGTTTTTGATAAGCTTCATTTTTTTTAGAATTAAACAAATTTTTTCCTAAGTATTATTTTTTCGAGGACGTTTTACTTTCTGAAACTGTACTAATTCCAAAAATTAGCAATTAGCAGAAGTTTCGAGTGCATTTCTACCTGTTGATTATTTGTACAATTCTAATAATTTTTGCGATTTGATGCCAAAAATCTTTAAAAATATACATCTTTCGTAAATGCAGCTGCATTTATAGAATTTCATCAAAATATGTATATTTATATGCACTTCATATGCATTTTGCATATTTCCCGAGTTCTAGTAATTACGGAATCAACATGACTCATTCATTCATACCACTCATTATCCAACTTATTCTAAATTCAAATCACTATGTCTATAATAATTATCACAAAATTATAATAATGAGCAATTTATTATCTACTGTTTAGATTAAAAGAAATATAAGTCAACAAAAAACATCTAGATTGTAGTTTTGAATCTATCTTTGCCGTTTTACACAATCATAATCATTATCATATTCACTTTTGTAATCCATGCGATGATCCGTACAGCAAAAATGCCAATCGCTTTCTCCCTTATTGTAATCATTATCAAAACCATTTTGATCAATTTCACTCATTATCGCATTTATTATTGAAATTTTCACGATCATTCTGATCACACCGGATTTACGATCATCATCCCAATCAATATCGCACTTAACATGCATACAATCATTATCAAAATTTGTCGTTCTTAATCTTTTAATTACCTGCTGTTGTCGCTGAACTTGATGACATTGTTAGGATTCGTGTGATTCTGTGTATCAACGATCATGTCAATAAGAGATTCCTTGTGTTCCACCCCATCAATGATCATTTTCCCCTTAAAAAACCAATGCCTACTATGCTCACTGTTCGATTGCGCTAAATCAAACAATTCAACATTGGTCGGATTCCGTTTTAGTACATTTTTAAACAAATTCGTATAATACTTCAAATCGGCGTCATCAAAAGCCAATCCCAACTCATCATTCAACTCTTTAACCGCGATTTCGCCCTTTTTCATCACATCAATCTCCCTGATATCTTCCTTTTTGACCAACTTCTCATTAAAACTCTTCTTGGGGATATTCTCGGGGGTGTACCGACATTCAGTCATTCGATCATACAATGCCGAAGCAATTTCGTCGACTTTGGAGACAGCCCCATCAAAGACAAGTCTATACCGTCTGGAGACTTCGACTCGTACCACTTGCGACAGCCCCAGATTCCGCGAAATCGATACTGCGTTCGTCGAATTCGAAGTGGAAAAGTTGAATCGGGGCCCTACTTCGACGATCACACTTGCGCCCCCATCCGATAAGTGAGTCGTCTCGGAGAGGTTGCCGGGATGGAACGGGTCTGTCAACAGCCATTTTATCAGAGTCTTGTCATTGGGGGACAAAGGGGCTGTCGTTTCCACGTGGTAGCAAAGCTCGGTTTTCAAATCGGACAATTTCTCATTTTTCTGCTTGAGTTTGAAGAGAAGTTCAGCTTTTTTCGCGGCGGTGCAACCGGGTTTTTGGTAAAAACGCGCGATGGACGATTCGAACACCATGGTTAAGGGAATATAACTACTGGTCAGCGGATTACGCGATACTTAACTTAAGAAATGATAAGAGATGTCGACAAGGTTATCACTTATTTTTAAGTATTTACACATCGTAGTATTTGTTAAGCGAGTTGCTGGGGGGCACCAGAGGCGGTACATAAAGTGCCCCTCAAACTTTTAATTGACGTGTCAAAGACAAGCGAATGGAATGTTGGTGCATTTTACCACATGTTAATGACACGACTTAACCTCACTTTATGACAAGTATGACAGGTGTCAAACAAAAATGTCAAATAATCTTGACCGGGTCAATGACCGCGGAACCACGATTCTACGCCTATGGTTTTAAAATTATTTCGTTAATTGGAAGGTTATTTTCCAATTGGTCAATATTTATTGCGTCGATTAAAAATACTCATATTACACAATTACTTTTCGCAAGGAACGACGTAATAAAAATCGATTAAACTTGTTGCAATTTATTGAAATAAAAATAGAAAAAGGTACATTAGAAGTGTGTAAATATGAATAAAATTTAATTATGCTACAGTACATCTATCCCTAGTGTTTGTCCTATTCCTATTCCCTTGATATTCTGAAGCTTGTAATTGTCTAGCTAAAGCCAAATCCATATCTTCCTGACTCACATGCTTTTTCGACGTTTCTTGCATAGATAACGCTAAAGCACGTGCTAAAGCCTCATCTTCACTCTGCAAAAAACCGTTAATAGCGTACTTCACACATTGATAACACAAACTGTACCATATTTCCATGTATTTCATTAGTGTAAGCAGCCCCATTCATATTTTCCTGTCTTGCTAAGGCAGCATTTCTGTAAAAACATAGTTATAGTAAACACAAAACAATTCAGCAGCAACTTACAGAATTTTCTGATTTGTTGAGGACTTTTTGCCTTGACAATTATGGTCAACAGTATGGCGGTGTTTAAGGCAAAAATTCATATTGCAGTTATCACAAATCACACGAACGACCTCTTTGATTTTGCACCCTTTCATTGAACACTTGTTTGTAAAAACTTTTCGTTTGTTCTTTGCTGGATCTGATTGACAGTCATTGTCTATGTGGGCACCAACAACGAAATCTGGTTGTTGGCCTTGTGGTACAGGGATGGGTTTATTGCATAATGGGCAAACAGGCACTTGGTTGTCTTTTTGATAAGCGTTAGCGCAGTTATGTCTGATGTACGAGTAGTGCTCGTCGCTAGAAAAACCAATGAGATTTTGGGGTTTTGGGGGCGTTAACACTTACCAAAATATTTCTGAACAAACATCACATTTGATTGGAAGAAAATCTAGAATTTTTTAACTGTTATTCAAATTGTTAGACATCGAATTTAACCGGGGCTTACCTAACTTGTTGCAATTCGGTTCTGAACAGTGTTTTCCAACATCTGGAAACTCCATGGTGCTGGGGAATGTTTCAACTGCGTGAACTATACTTGAAGCTGTCACTAAATACTAAATTTAATATTCTAGAAGGTGCTAGGGTGTTCACTAGAATTTTTCTCTAATCATTACAATGAATCATTTAATTGTGAATTTTGGAGTCTTGACTTGACATCTGTCAAATGATGAGGTTAAGTTATGACTCAGCAGTCAAAACAAAAACACCAAAATCACTAATAAATAGTTTTATACGCTTTTCAAGCACCTAATTCATCTGAAAAACTACAAAATTTGTACAAGTTGTGAAAATGTTAAAAAAGCACAATTATTAGTTTTTTATTTTTATTTTTCTATAGTTGGTAGTGTGTAGCAACCAGCAACCATTCTGTCAAAAACTGTAATATGTCAAACAATAATAAGTTACTTAACCTCATTTTTTGTTGTCAAAAATGAGCGACGACGCCTCTGAAAACAAGGAAGCCGCCGCCGATTCCTTGCAGTCATTCCAGTCAATGAACATAAACGATGGAGACCAGGAAAATAATCAAAAATCGGACAAACAGAAAAGTAAGTTTTTATTTTATTGTGGCGTTATTACATTTTTTTTAGTCGATATATTACTGAAACCGACTGGTAATGCCCCAATCATGAAAAAGAAAAAGTGGACGGTTGAAGGAGACAAGCCCATTTCGTGGATTGCTGAGTTTATGAAGAGATACATGAAATTAGAACCACAAGAAAAATTGGTATTATTTATCAGATATGAGGCTTTTAATGACGCGATTTTTGTAGTTTCTTTACGTAAATCAGACATTTGCACCTTCACCTGATCAGATAATGAAGAATTTGTACGACTGTTATTCAACAGAAGGGAAGTTGGTTTTACATTATTGCAAAACACCAGCTTGGGGTTAAATATTTTTTGTTATACTTTATTTTTAAGTTAAGAATAAATATAAAATTGATCTATTCTTCTGGTTTTACAGTTTCAGCCTTGAGATCAACATTGCTTTGATCTTCTGTTGGTTCACCTTCAATAATGATTTCTTCAGGGTCAGGAGCCCTTGGCAAAAACTCACAATCCGGAAAAATGTCCATAAAAATTGTCTTAGCCTAAAAAAAACACAAACTAACAAGTCAAAAACTTTTAATACATACGTTTTTGACGGCGTAATCATAATCCAGGTCTATATCCGGTCCTGGACACAACAAAACATTTTTCGGTGTTTCACACCTCAAATCTAAATCATTTGAATCAGGAATTGAAAAATAGCAAGACCATAAAATTTTCGCCTTTTCTGACCCAAATAAATTCTGAATAATATGTTTAAAATCGATTTGGGGTCCCTCAATTTGTCTCGAAACCAAATGTACCACAACTAAAGTCACAATTGTGAAAAATAAGTCATAAAAAATTAAATTAGTACATAGGTCCTTGGGACAAGTCCCTGTTAAGCATCCTAGTTCAATAACCACGCATGAATTTTTGTCCCCTTCAGGAGGGTACAGAAGCAGGGTCAGGTGTTCCTTCTCACTGTCCATGATTGATTTATCTGTGATTAAAATAGCCCTCGCGATGTACGATTGTGGATGTTGTTTAATGAACTCTGGAGGGGCTTTTTCAGCCCCCATGACCAGAAATTCAGCTTTGATTTCCTGTTTGCCACACGTAATGCCCTCAAAATTATCGCCGTTTAAAATGAGACCTTTTAAAGGTTGACTCAAAGCATAAATTCCACCGAAAACGGCACTCAACCTGCAAAAGGCCTGAGTGATTTCCCCACTTCCATACATGGAAAACAGGAAGGGGGTTTTCCCAAAACGGCCCAAGCTGTCCAAAAACCGTTTCGTGTTTTGGATTCCTTGCAAACAGGGCGTTTCGTCGGTACTCATTGCAATTGCGTAAAGAACGTAATGAATCAAATTCGGGGTCAATTTTTTATCGCTCAAAAACGCCCGAAAGCTTTTATTTTCATAATTAGGATATTCCTGATCGCCGCTGTCCAAAGCCAGGAAAAGTTTCATCAACATGCGTTTTTCAATCACTGTGACTTTGTTATTGGCGAAGACGTCCGAACGCGAGCACGGGACTGTCTCCAACTGGCCGTTGAGCCAAGTTAGGACTCTGCTGACGCTCCTGTACTCGGAATAACGCGCGATATTTGACGAAATGAGAAGCTCAACAAAATCCCCCCGTGCAAATTGGAGTTTGGGGGTGAGGTCTAAATTAAATTTGCGCGATTCTTTTAAGAGGCGCGTGCGTGACCACTCGTTTGATTCAGGGGGCGTTTCCCTGAAAAAATCACTTATTTTGGTTTTTTAACCGTGTTAAGTTTACTCTGGAATGTGCCATTCAATTGTAAAATTTTTTAAACTAAAGAAGGAATTTCCGAGTCCTTCAATAGAGGGCGGTTCTGAAGAGACAAGCTTCTGGATTGCGTCCAAGTTGAATGAGGCCCAAAGCCCCCCGTAATAGTTGTTGCTGAAAACTGTTTCGTGATTAAGTGAATTATTGAAGGCTTTTTGTACCTATCAATATGTAAAACTCGTTTTCCAATTCTGCTAGCTGCTGCTGAAATTATTGACTCAATAACACCTACAAAACAGTTTCGATGACTTTTTTTTTATTAGAGGAAACAAGTCCTGACCTGTGCCTATAATAATTATGTCAAATTCAGTTGGAAGTTCATAATCCATCATAAAAACTACTGGTTATTCTTTGGTTTAGATGTTTTTTTTGTAAATTATCACAACTTCAACCAAATTCACAGTTTTAGGTTAATTTAATTTTTCAGGCCGTCTTGACAAGTATTTCTCACCAAAACAAAAATAGAAAATCAATATAAATTTCTAATAGTATAAGACCATATAAAAATAATCTAAAATTTAGCAATAAATTGTTGTGTGTTCATATCATCGAATCCTGTCAACTGTCAAATGAGAAATGTCAAATATGATCTTACCGAAAGTACATCTGCCTGAAAAAATAAAAAATATGGGCAACCAACAATACACATTAGCAATTAATTATGATTTTTTTAAAAAACACTTTTTATCTTATTTCATTCCTAAAATTTTATTGATTTGTGTAATGAACAATACAGTTGTCTGCCCTAGAGGCCGTTTTATTTTTCATCCAGAGGTCGCTCGTGTTTTCGGTCAATTATTCTTTAAAAAAAATCCCCTGCGGTATTTTTCTCTCCGTTAATCCTTTGTTTTTGCAGACGTGAGCATTTCGTGTTTATCTAGCGCTAAAACTGTCTTTCAATAAAAATACCAGCAGGTGTATGCAATCCAGCTTCATCGGTAATGAACGTCACTGAGTAAATCTTATAATTGAATGTCCGAAACTGATTTTCTCTCGTTTTTTTTTTGCCTTGACAAGAGCCACTCCTCGGCTGTTTGTCGAGCACCTGAAAGATTACTTTGATGTTTGCATTCAATCCAATCGACTCGTAATCTCTTTAATAAAATATTTATTCATACACACAAAAACAGCGTTTTATCACAGAGAACAGATTTAGATTAAAATCATCAGGCGCACAGACCGCAAGTCAAGTAACTGCAGAAACTCCTGAAAAATTACAATGTCATGAATATGGAAAAAAGGGGTCGCAAGGGCTCACCGTCGATCTTCTTTGGGATTGGAGATGGTGGTGGATTTTTTCTGTTTTCGGTCCTCCTGAAATTAAACGGATGAAAGTTTGACATAAATATTCATCAGAAGAAGTGATTTATTTGATTACCTCGCGAAGTTCGCCGATTTTGTACCGTTTGAGCTCTTTTTTGGCGTCTCCGGAATGCCCGGCGTCGTCGAAGGCTTTAGTGCATTCTTTCCCCGCCCATTCTGTTATCAGTTCGCCGCCCCCAGGGTGCTATCACAACAATACAAATTCGCAATATTTCAAGAATGTGCCGTATCTTATCTTAGATGACGCAACAATTGCTAAATTAACAATTAATTGACAATTAATTAATTGAATTCAATAAATTGCAATCAGTTTTAATTTGTCAAAAACTATAAATAAAAATACTTGTACATAAAGTAATTGTTTTATATGACTCCGAGTCAATGTCAAATGTTAATAAGTTTCCAAGAACTGCGGTAATTCCCGGTGATTCCCCATGGATAACTCATGGCCCACTTTTTTTACATGATTCTCTGTGTCAAACATAGCCTACTATTATGACTTATTTACTTGTTTACCCCGTCTAGATATTCCGTAACGTCGTATACGTTATTTTTGATCAAGATCCACGTCTTGTTTCCGTCTTTTCCGTTATTTTTTCCGATTTCTTCAAGTGAGAAATATTTTGTTTCCATTTTAACACAGGCTCCGCCACAATAACACAATCACACGTTCGCACGACAATCGAATGAATAGATTTTAAGCCACTTATCAAATTGCTTATATACTCGAGGAAACGCAATCTTTGTTATTGTTTCGTCTTTTCCTTATCGCGACGTGATTTCCTTCAGATCCCATTTACGAAAAATTGAGTTTAAAGTTAGCAAATTTTATAATAACAAACGCTTCAATTGTCTATTTTTAAAATTATTTTTAACATGTTACTGGAGTATTCCGGCATGTTTGTCATTTGTTATTAATATTTTCTCGTATTTACATAACAAAATTATTTTTTTGCAACAATTTTGAAACAATAGTTTGCATAGAAGAAGATTATCTGAAATTCTTAGGGCAAAATTAAATTGTATTAAGCAACAAGCTTGCAAATACTGATTTAAAAATTTGTGTTTCTGTGTTTTAAAATAAAATTTTGTAAAAATGTTAAATGTTGTTTTTCTTTGTAATCCGTTTGGCAAATTCGATTCCCAAAACAGCACCTTTTAGTTTTACTTTATTTCTCATTTGCGCGAATAAGTGACTCGCTTTGATTGATTCAACGGGATTTAAATCGGATGTGCTATAAATTGGAAAAGTTTGTCCATCGATTTCCAAAGATAAACGAGTTTTGTATCGAATTTTTGTTTCGTAAGTGAAAAATTAATGTCGTGTTGAAGAATTATAAAGAAAAATGAAGATTGAGTCGTGTTAGCGGTTGTTGCAGAGATATCTCGAAAGGGTTTCCGCTTGATGCACCACCTTTGTGTATATACCCACCGTCGTGCTACGCCACTTTGGATCGTTTGTTATTTATTGTATTGTGGAGATGTAAGTAGATAAAATTTCAAGTGAAAATGATACCTCTCGAGTGGATTTTTATTCTAATTAGACGTTGATTTTTCCACTCTCGACGGCAAATACGGCACTGATCCTTCAATTTGAGGCAATTAGAGTCGAGTGTGGTCGCGAATTAATCGTCACGTGAACAAGATCTGATTTAATAGGATTGGATTTAAGGATAAATGTATTTTCAGTTGTTTTATCCATTATTCAATAGGGGTGATTGGGGGTTGTGGACGACGTCTTGATAAGCGTTTTGATGAATCAGCAGTGCTGATGTAATAGAAAAGTGGAAATAACACCTGTGGCATCGTGAGTCCGGACCTGGATTTGTTTGAGCGATAATTGATTGGCAAATGGTGCGACGTCGATAATTTTATATTATACTCGATTCCGGCCATATTATTACAAATAATTACGGTTTATGGAGGGGTTTAATTAGCATATTTAACTCGGATGGATAAGTGGGATGAGTATTCACGTTTTAATTAGTTTTATCGGATGTTATCGGGGCCATATCGACGTTATTGCCCATTATTTATTCGTTTCTATTATTAATTTGTAGGGATTATCAACCGATACACGAAACAAGATTAATTGAAACTTAATTAAAAGTCAGACAGCGATTTGTGGTCTTTCAGAAGTAATTTTCAAACATAATAAAATTTTTGCCAAAACCTGAGATTTTAGTTTGAAAATGTTATTCAAAGTTTGACAAAGGTGTGTTTTTGTGTTTTTTTGGCTTAGTAATTCTGTTCAAAAACCACTTAAACAAACAAAATGTTATCAGTTTCGAAATAATTTGGTAATTTTTTAGCCAGTTTTAGCAAAATTTGTTAAAAAAAATATTTATTTCAAAAACGTGCTTAAACATTCAAAAAAGACAAAAATAATAGTTATTTATTCGACGAGTTTAAGTGTAAATCCGACGGATTATTTCACCGAGTGGGTTATTAAACCACGATTGTAACGAGTGGTTTATCATCCACGAGGTGAAATAAAGCGTCCGATTTACACTCAAACGAGTTGAATACAACATTTTATTTTTCGAATTAGACTCAATAAGGCTTAAGCATGCTTTAAATCTGTTAAGAATAATCTGATGTTTCGTATTGAGAAATGCCAAACAGTTGTCAAAACTTCTTTACATGGGAGAAAAACCGTAAATTTTGACAGTGTCGAAGAATAAACATTATTTTCGGTCTAATTTGGTGAATTTTCTGCTTGTTTTTAATAAAATTAGGCGAAATAATTTTGTTTTTAAATAAAAAATGTGCTAAAACACTCAAAAAAAGAAATGTCTTTTTCAATAGTAATATTTTGAGTGCATGCCAAATTGTCGATAATTTTATTGGAATTAGAATCAATTATTTAGCTTGGACGAAGAGTATTTTGCAGACTATTTCCCGATAACAATTTACAAAAACAATATTTTCATTATGGAATGATTATGAGAAATTAAAAAAAAAATATGTCAAAAAAAATATGTGTGTCAAATCTTTTAAATTTTTGAGATTCATCCAATCAGATTTGCAAAAATTTTAGTTCAAAACTTCAAGGTTTGAAAAAAGTGAAAATAACAATATTTTCGACCAAATTTTGTGGTTTTTGCTATATTTTTGATTATATTTTGCTTAAAATCAATTAAATATAGTGAAACGAACAAAATAATATCAAGTTTGATTTATTTATGTAATTTTAAGAACGATCTTAAAAAAAAATTTCGCAAAATAAATGTGTCTCTGCTTCAAAATAAAACCAATAAATTGATCAAAACAAACCAAAATAAATAAATGATAGATATCAATTTGTTTTAGCAAAATTTGTTGAAAAAAGTTTTTATCTTAAACACTAAATATTCTTAAAAATCAAAAATAACACAATTTTTGGTCTAGTTTTGGGACTTTTAGGCTTGTTTTTGACAAAATTTTGCACATATGTAATTGTATTTTTGATGTGCTAAAACTCTCGAAAAAGGTAATAAAAATAATATTATTTTTGACCCAATGTAGCGATATTTTTGACTTGATTTAATGAAATCTTGTAAAAAGGGAAACAAATAAATTAATTTTGAGTTTTTCTGACTAACCTTTAAAAAGATTTCTCAAAATAATATTAATTACGACTATTACGAGCAGTTTAAAAAATCGAACAAAATTTTCTACAAAACAACTTAATTATTTTTGATCAATTTATGTAAATAAAAAGAAATCACTTTCTTTAGTTCTAAAATCTACTGATTCTACAAACTTTTTTTACTTATTTGTAAATCATTTATTTAATTTTTCTCAAAAAAGTTTTTTTTTAATGTTGGACATCTGTTTATACTTTCAAATAAAGATGCTTTTTTGGATTTTATCGATTTTATTTTTTTTCCTAATTTTGTTTGAAAAAAGTTTTATTTTAATCTATAAACATTAGTAAATTTAAAATCTAGAAATCTACTATTAGTTACAAACATTTGATAAGTCGAGGTTTTTACCCTTCAAGAGAGTAACAAAAAGAACGAAATCATCAAAAATAAAAATTTTATAACACAAATTTGAGGCCAGTATTAGTTTTAGTTTTGTTATTTCAAATTTGCCATTTCAAAGAAATTAAAAGCAAATAACTGTTTTTGAATTGATATTTGCGCGTGGTGACTGAGAAGGGTTCGTCAATAGCATTTTCTAGATCGACACCTACTTTTAGAGATATTCGACCCTCGACTTAAAACCATACCCGAAATCCCAGTCTCCAAACACTCATTCGAATTTGTCCAATCATTTTGAAAGCACTCTTATGGAGTGCTTAAAGCTCAAAGCTCAAATTCAGCCATTAGCATCCTGCAGTGAGCCGCAAGTACGTTGACTCCATTTTTTCAGTGGTCAAGCAAGGTCGGGCCCTTTAGGCGGTCCACGTTGTTTTCCGAGTTATTTCCTTTGTACTACGCAAAGTTTTGTCGGGAAATCATGCAATGCGACAAGTGCATCATCTATCAAGCGCAATTCAAATTATCGAATTCGTATCTTTTAACTTAATCGAAATGTTGGAAGCGGTTAATGTTCTGTGATATCAGGAGAGCAATCGTCTGTGTATATTCCGATTATTTTTTTCTTTCTCTTTGAGAAATTTAGAGTTTTATGGTTTTGCGTATCGTAAACCTGTGCGAGCGTTATTTAACCGGAAACGTCGATAATTTCCAATGATTTAAGCAGAGCTAATAAAGCAAAACCGATTCTCTTATCTTCATTCCTCTAATCCTGTTTATTGCTTTAATTAGACCAAATCTAGGATAAATAACCTTTGAAGTAAATTCGGAAAAATCACGTGAACTCCTCACTTTTATTCTATTCGCGGCCACAAAATCGTGTTAGAGTCGCATCAAAACTGAAATAAATCCGCATTTGCAAAGCACTTTAATCAATCCAGAGCCGGATTGGGTGGAAATGGAGCCGGAATTTACGCTTTTCATTTCCTCAACTGTTGCGTTCAACCCAAAACTGTTAACTGTTCAAGACGGCTCTGATCGAATTATGAACATGGAGCGCTTTAACCGCCGGTTTAACCGCTGTCATTTTGCGGATGTGTCCCAGTACGTTTATAACTTCTGCACTTGATTAAAACTCAACGGTTAAATGTTACTAGGGGCGGAAAAGTGGAGCAAAATGAGGCGAAAATTGAGAGAAACTATTTAAATTTTAATAAAATAAAAATAAAAAACTTTTTAATAAATTAAAAAAAAACAAATTGGGTTACGACGGCATGTTTAGAGAATTGCTAAAGTACAGTCGCTTAATAAAAAAGTGACTATAAACGACACTACTTTAGTTGCTAACTGTACACGAGTTCAAAGCTATCACTGTTTTACACAGATTTTATGCTGTAAAAATGTTGCTCTTTCTTTTGCTCCTTTAATAGAAGAGTTTTAATAAAACGACAACGCAATTAAATACTCTCGAGATGTTTCTTCGTATAAAGAAATTGTTTCGGTTCAAAGCGATTCTGTTTTAATAACAGTTGGAAGATTTGTGGAATTTGAAATAAAAAAACGACCGTTACGTACACTAGAACTAAATACGTGAGGAAATAAATTATCTTATGCACAAGTTGCTTTATTTCGTTAAGTGGATTTAAGTTGTCGGCTTGCTTTGGGATGAGTTTTCCGTTAAATCTCCTCTCCTAAATGACAATATAACCAACTGCGATAAATCTCCACTTTTTCCCCCACAAGTTGCATCAAAATTAGTTCTTGCAATTACAAACAAATTAATGTTTAACGTTCGTGTTGGTTAGCTGGGTTAAATATTTAGTTTTGGTGTTAAACAAATATTATTTCTAAAAGTAGGGAAGTTAATTGAGTAATTAAAACATGGCTGAACATATTGCTGCCAAGAGCAAATGAAATTCTCAAACGATTATTACAGAGAAATTGACAATTGGGAGTAATAATTAGCGGAATTCAGGACTTTCAACCTACATGCTTGATTCAGCACGACACCTTTCAACCCTTTTTAGCAAATTGCCAAAATCAGGGTTAAAACTTTAATGGAGGGATGATGTTTTGTGGATGGACGTATGTACACCTTGCCCAACTAAATGGCAACTATTTTTAGTTTTTGTGTAAAAATAGCACAAAATGGTGACAAATACCAAAAAATACGAAAAAGTGCTTTTTCAGAAGCGGTAATCTAAATCCAGATACAAATTAATTTCACTCGATAAAAACAAAACATTATTTTAGACGTCACAATGCAAAATAAACCTGTTCAATTTTTTTTTTATCAAATTAAATTATTCGTTTTAACAAGTGTTTTTCGCTCATGTTCTATGTAGATATTTATAACAAATTCAGGTCAAATGTTTTTACCAAATTTGTAACAAATCTAACTTTGAATCCTTTAAAAAGTATTTTTTTTTACTTTCTTTTAATATTTTTATATTTTCAAAAAAATTGTATAATTGCAATTGTTTTTTGTTTTTATTTTTATTTTTATAATAATCTTCAAGACATTTTTATATGAGGGTGTTCTGTTTATATTACAAATTTAAACAGGTGATAGAATATTCAATTTTGAGACAAAAGTTTCTTATGCATATATACGTACAAGGTGATTCACGAGAAATAATGAGCCTGACCAAATTCTCTTCGCAAGTTATTTGTAACTGTAATGTTGGTTGCATCGAAAATTTGGTCTGGCTTATTATTCCTCTTGAATCACCCTGTATATGTGTCGAAAAATACTGTATAACGGACACTTCCTGAAAACACTCCTTGAAAAGGTTTTCAATGGGTTTTTCTTCAATATTTTTTTTCAGAAAATGTTATATATAAAATTATAAAATTTGTTACAGCTGATAACTTTTATACACCTAATCGAATTCAAAAATTAAATATCGAAATTTTTAATCAGAAGTTCCTAATTTCTAAACTGGAGGGGTATAAGGTAAAAAAAATAATTTTTAATTTTAATTCTGTTTAT